TGGACTATGTACATGTTGGCCTATGGGGCCCTAAGAAGCATTCTACATTTGGAGGACTTAAGTACTTATTATCACTTGTGGATGATTATTCTAGAAATGTTTGGATTTATCCTTCAGAGATTAAATCTGAAACCTTTCAGAAGTTTAGGAACTGGCTCAAATCTGTGGAGAATCGGTTAAAGAAGAAATTAAAAACATTAAGAACTAATAATGGGCTTAAGTTTTGTAATTTTGAATTTGATAACTTTTGTAAGCAAAATGGGATAATGAGGCGTAGAATTGTAAAATACACACCTAAACGGAATGAGGTTGTTGAGAGAATGAACATGACCATAATGAATAAGGTTAGGTGCATGTTAATCAGTTCTAGCATTACCAAAGGTTTTTAGGCTAAAGCTGCATGTACTGCAACCTACTTGATTAATAGATCCCCTTCCAGCAGCATAGGTTTTAAAACTCCACAGGAACTGTAGACAGTGGAGCCTTCAAATTTAAGTCACATAAGAGTTTTTGGATGTGCTGCATGTGCACATTAGTCAGAAGGGAAACTAGTGCCTAGAGATATTAAATGTGTGATGTTAGGCTACCCAAAGGGTGTGAAAGGATACACGTTATAGGTTTTAGGTGTCCAAGGCATTAAGATAATTAATAGCAAGAATATTGTCTTTAATGAATCTGAAATGATATGCCTAAAATTAGGAAACTAATAAATCAAACAAATCTGAAAGTGTAAAAACTGTTTAGAATTAGGTGAAGCTAGCTAAGTTTGATTTACCTAGATCTGAAAATGAAAAAAATAATCATGTACATCAAGAATCTGAATCTGAACCTACTGAGATAACTGAACCCCAAACTGAAATTGAACCTGAAGTTCCTGATCATGCTACTGAACAAATTTCTATCCAAGACTATCAACTTACTAGGGATAGGGAAAGAAGGTAAATCAGGCCTAACCCTAGGTATGAGTTACTGATAGGGATGGCAACGGTCCAGTTCGGGGTCGGTCCCGCCAAAACCACAATCGCACCACCAACTTTTTGACCATACCATAACCGCACCATAATCACGTAAGTCGGTTCGGTTCGGTTCGGTTTGGTTCGTATCTCGGTTCGTATCTCGGTTCAGTTCGGTTAATAATCACAAAAATAAATTATTTTTATAAGTCCATACTCCAACCATCAAATTGAAAAAAAAAATTATGAAAAAAAGTCAATAAAAATAAAAACACAATACTAATCCAATTTAGCAAACTATATCCCAAATGAAAATGCAAACGGTGTCTCTCAACTTCCAAATGCAAAATTCGAATTTAACAAACAATATTATCAACATAGGTGAAGATTCTTACTAGCATATGTCAATCTTCATTCTTTCCAACAACTCTTACTAGCATAGGTCAAGACTCAAGACTCAAAGTTGATTAACATAAGGAAATTCATAAGCCAATGCAAACCTTAGATAAATTCAAATAACTAAAAAACCCCAAAAATCACAAAGAAACAACTTCAAATAATTAATAAGTTGAGAAAAATTACTTTTAAACACTCTTATAGCAATACAGAAAATCAGTTCTTCATTGCATTATAGTATCCTATCGGAGTAGGATTACATATTCATCATCAAAACATATTTTTATCAGAATCAAAAATCCAATCGTAAGTCTCATGTCTAAGTAAAAAAGAAACCACGAACTAAATCAGAACAGAAAAACAAACAAGTAAAAATATAAAATCACTACATTAACATA